CCAACGGGCTAGGTTCTACCCATTAAGTGCCGGTTTCTTGAAGAGATATTTGTGGGATCTAATCTCGAACCAGTATTTACAGAGTGAGACCTAAGAGGTAGTGCCGTAGTTCCTTTGGTTACTAGCCAATACCATGGCCAGAAAAAGTAAAAAGTTCTCTCCAAGCGGAGCTGTAGCGGGTCTCGTAATCCAGCATTTTCATTGCTCAGGTAGGTAAGATAGCCTTCTCATAACTTAGTCCTTAGACTCCTGTCGTGAGGCATGGCAATCCATTGTCGTTTCAGTCACTGATAGGTACAGAATCAACGGTTCCCCGGCTCAGGCCGGTGGACAAAACACAGGCGGGTAGTATCTTAAATATTGTTTGATCTGCTCGAAGCGACTTATGGCATCGGCCCGTCCCATTGTAACTTCTTTCCTTTGTTCAGGAGGACCAAAGGAGTGGTTCACAAGTCAAGGTTAATTTCTACATTAAACCATTCTTAATGAATATGCACTGTTACCAGAAAGCCTCGGCAGCCTCCTTTCAGTCTTCCATGGGTGGCATTTCTTGAAGATGGCACTTTATCTCTCTTTGCTTCTGCTTTCCGAATTTGATCTGAAGTACATGATGCGCAAGTCAGTGAAAGAGAGAGCGGTAACAGAGTTCCTAGTCGATCACCCAGTTGAAGGGGATGAAGCAGTTGAGTATCTGTTTCCAGACAAGGCCATTCTATATGTCGAAGAAGAGACTTGGACGATGTACTTTGACGGAGCATCAAACCAATATGGGTATGGGATAGGGGTGTTGTTGATAGCACCCGACAATTCCCTTATACCTCTAGCATTCAAACTCTGGTTCAAAGTGTCGAACGATGAAGCAAAGTCTGAGGCGTGTATTGCTGGATTAGAAGCTGCCTTGGAACTAGGGACAAAACAGTTGGATGTCATCGGGGACTCGAACCTTGTTGTATCTCAAGCTAAAGGAGATTGGAAAGTTAAAGAAGAAAATATGAGAATTTATCACCAGACCTTAGATGTTCTGATTCCTTGGTTTGAGATACTAAACTTCACTCATCTGTTAAGGGGGAACAACAGGTTCGCTGATTCATTAGCAACTCTATCTTCTATGATAGACATCCCTTTCAGAGTCCGGATGCGTCCGATCATCATTGAATAGAAATTCGTGCCAGCCTACGAGCTAATTGCTGCCACAGATGAGGTATAAGATCAAAATCCCTGGTATTACGACATCTGGAACTTCTTGGAAAAGGAAGCGTATCCACTAGGGGCAAATGCCAAAGATAAGAAGGCAATTCGAAGAATGGTTGCTCAGTTCATCATCTGCGGGCGTGAAGTGTTCAAGAGGGGTCATCTCGGGATGCATAAACTGTGTGTTGATACTAAAAAATCCAAGCGCCTGATGGAGGCCATCCATGGAGGAGAGTGTGGAGCGCAGATGAGCGGGGTAATGCTAGCCCGGAAGATCCTTAGACAAGGTTATTACTGCTCAACCATGGAGGAGGATTGTATTGGCACTAATACAAATACAGATAAAGATCACACTTTTTTTGTGTGATGTATGTTTTTTAATCACACTTTTTAAGTTTTATTAAAGTGTGGTCTTTGGGAGTGTGATTAAAAAGGGTCATTTTTAATCACACTTTTTAAGTGTCATTAAGAAATGCTTTCATCACATCTTTTAAGTGTGATTAATAATATTTAGATCACACCTTTTAAGTGTGATTAAAAACATTTAGATCACACTTGGTAAGTGTGATTAATAACATTTAGATCACACCTTTTAAATGTGATTAAAAACATTTAGATCACATTAGATCACATCTTTTAAGTGTGATTAAAAATATTAGATCACACATTTTAAGTGTGATTAAAAACATTTAGATCACATCTTTTAAGTGTGATTAATAACTAATAAAATCTGTGATAAAAAAAATTCGACATATTTGATGAATAATTAATATTATTTTTGTACGCGCATTTGAAGAATATAATACACACTATATACTATATTTTGAATCACAACCATATATTGAATGGAATAACGTCATATATTTCATAAATGAAAGTTAAATGTTCAAAAGTATATACAAAGAAATTAATAAAAAAAAATGTACCTGTGATTACATATATTAAAAAATTAAAAACACTTGAAAAAACTAAGTTCTTGACTGCTTTCAAAGCCATGTGGTTCGGCTCGTCAAAAGGCAAGTATCCAGCCATAAGAACAAACAGAATGACCCCACAAGAGCATATATCAGCTGCTGTACCATCATAACCTTTATCGGTGAGCACCTGATAGAATGGGGGGCAAAAAAGAAAGAAAGAAAGAAGTATCACAAATGCAAGAAACTAATAAGAAAAGGAAAAAAAATTGCATCAAAGCGACCATCCATTTCCATTACATCATAATTGATACCTCAGGAGCAACATAATTTGGGTTCCACAGGCAGTGTGAAACAGCACGTCTTCCTACAGTAAACAAGGTAGTCAGTCTTTGATTAAGCAAAGCCACAACACTAACTTATATTGATGAATGAGGGTTAGGTTTAAGGCAATCCATAACTTATGTGTCTGAATGATATTGAGATCATATAACCTCAATGTGGATTAGATCAAGTCTTAAAAAATGGTACTGAATGTTTTCAAAGTGTCGAAATCTAGATGATGCATAATACAGAATCTTATGAAGAAGTCAACTAATAAAACTAAACTGCCTCCTTGATTTGGGGAACTAATATAAAAAGAGGGAAAGGAAAGACACAAATCATAAAAAAAAAGTTCATTTCCAAATTAATAGAAACCAGAAATGAACAAGCCACTGAAGGACAGAAGAAAAACTAATGGCCACATTATTCCTAAGGAATTCCTTTCAGAGCAGGGCACTGCTCCTGGCCAGAAAGGTAGTTTCTGGACTAGGTGATTTTAGTAAACCAAATAGACTGCAAAATTGACTCAGTGCTGCAACCACTTTTAAAAACTTAACGTTCAATTTATTAACACCCACCTGCTAAAAATCTGCTCTTAGATGAGGAAATTGTTGCAAACTCACATAATACTTACCCGCACTTGCTGGGAAAATGCACTCAATCCAAAGTCTGAAACCTTGAGAACACCAAATGAGTCTAGAAGCAGGTTCTCGGGCTGCAAAAGATGCAGGGTAATGCAAATTTCAGAGTCATGGTCGAATAGATAGCCAAAGAAACCAAATTACTGTTAGATAATAAATTCTTTTTTATAGGAAAAAATTAGAATAAATACATTAATTAATCAATGAAACATGTAAGAAAGTTTGTTAAACCTTTAAGTCTCTATGGTACATGCCTCTACTGTGGCAGTAGTCTACGGCATTAATGAGCTGCTGAAAATATCTCCTAGCCTCATCCTCTTTAAGTCTTCCTAGTTTGGCCTAGTTATAAAAGGGTCAATAAGGGAATATTATCAGACAAATACAAGACTCGGTACCCACATGATTTACATAAATGAGCATCAATAGAACACACATTACCACAACAAAATGGTAAGCATGACATGAGCAAATGCCTAAATTAAGATGTAATGCATTACACAATTGATTATATTATGAATGAAATTATAGGTGCTCAGAGAGTAGAAGCTCAAAAAACAATGCTTACTATTTTGTCAAAAAGCTCGCCCTCGCCAACATACTCGAGCACAATATAGATCTTTGTCTTGCTTGCCATAACCTATTTTCAAGCATAGAAAAAGGATGCATTAACATGTAAAACATGAAGCACTTAGACCATCATATTTCTAGTAGTGCGAAGAGCATTCAATTCCTTTTAAATTCTGCTCATAAATATCAAAAAAACTTTAAAAAATGTTGTAACAAATAGACATATAGGATAGGCTACTAGTAGTTAGTTAATTACCTTGGCATAGCAATTGACTCTTCTTAATCTGGCTTTCCTGTAAGATGGGCGCACATTAAGGGCAGCAGTCCAGTCCTTGATTGCTTTCTCAAATTGACTAAGTTTGGACCTGCAAGTGGCTCTGTTGCACAACAACACCGAGTTGTAGGGGTCATGGCCGAGTCCCTCTCCATATGCAACACAAGCCTCTGAGTATCTTTATCCCCTGAACAAATCGTTACCGTTGGATTGAGCCATTGCCACCGCCCGTGTCCTCCTAACCACAATGTTCACTTCCTTGTTGCTTGAGTCCAGCCGTGCTGCTCTTTGAGCCGCTGCTATTGCATCATCAAATCTGTCAACATAAATACACGACTTCCCACTCATTTTTTTTTTTTTTTATAATCAAAGGTGTTGGATAGTTGTTTTGTTATATATATCAGTAATTTTTAAAACCTAACTTGATTGGTAATTAGATCATTATGGAATTTGAATTAATTAAATCATATGACCAAACCTTCATTTTTCTTATTATTTTGAACAAATTAAACCTTACAGCCAATTTGACGAGTGCTTGGAGGTATGATTTAATTTGTTTAAATTGTAAAATTATCTTTTTGCCCATTAGGTTAGACTTTGACTGTTATTGATTTGGACTGGCATCTCCAACTGGATCACATGAATTGAATTTAGAGACTTTAGAAATTAAGTAGATGAAATTATTGTTTAATGATGAAACAGAAAAAATGACGATAGTTTAGCATATGAAAGTTCAACTAACCCAAGATGAAATAAGTGAAAACATAGTTACATCAGAGACAATTTGAAAATAATATAGACATGCTGCATTGTTTGGATCTATATTCATATATTCACCATAGCAACTTTGTTTAGTTGACTGCAAAAGGACATATAAAGATCACATTGTATTTATAATTGTAAGATATGAAGTGAGGTTAATTATGGTAAAGAGTAAAATCATCTTTTGTGTAAAAGCACAATCCCAAGGATAAGGTATTTGGCAAAGCAATGATGAAAGCAAGGATTGTTTTTTGTAGGGTTAATTATAATTTTGATTCCTAAAATATGAGTTTTGTGTCATTTTGATTTTTAATGTTCAAACTGTCAATTTGGTGCCTAATGAATAAAATTTCAATTTGATTTTCAACGTTTAAATTGTGTCAAATGGAGAAAGAAAGAGACCTCATGCACCCATTTATTACACCGGTGGTGATTCCTATATTTTCTTTTAAATTTTATTTTAGTTCCTCTAATTTTGCACATGATATTTTTTCGTTTAAAATTCTAATGATATATAAGAGAGGGACCACATTACAATAAAATTAAAAGTGTAGGATTCAAATTAAAACTTCAGTTAAACTATAGGGATTAATAATATAATTTACCTCAAAACATTAAAAATAAAGAAAAAAAAATGGAATTGTACCTCATAGATTTCATCTGAAATGAGTGATACACGATGAGCATATGGGATAGCTGAATTTTGGTCATCATGGACATCTGTCACTGGATTGCCCAACAAATATCCCTAATGATCACTCCCATTCAAAGAAAACAAAAATGAAAAAAAATAATAATAATAAATGAATTAATAAAATTATGAACTGAAAATTCTTATCTGTTTGGTTGTGTTTTTGTTATTTGTTTTCATTTTTTATTTTTTGAAGACAAAATAATGAAAAGTTTGAAAGTATCCATCATTTTCATTTTTGAGTGAAAAAAAAAATTAAAAATAACTTTTTGATGTTCTATTTCCTAAAAATGAATTGTTTTAAAAAAATTCCAAAAAAGTTTCATGAAGAAGGAAAACAAAAAACAAAAAACACAACTAAACAATTGGAATAAGCTGAACACTTGATTAAAGTTTTAAAACTAGATCATGTACTTGTAGGTTCATTGTTGGTTGATGCCCAAGTTCATTACCTACAAAAAACAAAGTTAGCCACCGCAAAGGTAGAAAAGTTTTACCATTTTTTCTATTCTATTTATAAACTACTAATTTCATCTATAAAATTCTGATTTCATTTCATATAATTTAATTGAAAATAGTTCAACCAAACCAATAATCATAGAAACCTAACCAACTGGGCCAAAATATAATTTTACAATTTTAACAACATAAATCACACAACCAAACTCCTATCTTTGGACTTATGCTATATTAAACAATTTACACTCTATAGCCAAACACATAGGTTGATTATATTGTTTCAGTTGTTCAAATTTTGAAATGACATTTCTACCCATCAAATTAGGATTTAACAATTATTGATTTGGACAACTGTCTCTAATTAGACCACATCAGCTGAAATTAGAAATAGAGACTTAATAGATGAAATTAATAATTTAAGGATAAAATAAAAAACAAGGAAGATAATTTAAGAGATAAAAATAAAGTTAGTAAAAATAATAAGAAAAAAAGTTTTTGTGAACACAAGGTACCGGTTAAAATTTCCTGAACAATGATGGAACAACCAAACCAGAGTAGGAGTCACCACCAATGTACAATGGATTATCAAGAAACTTGAGATGATCAATCAGCCACTAGGTCACAATAAAATAAAATAAATGAGATGAAGAGTTTAATTAGTTTTAACTATAAGGATGCAATAATAGTGCAATTAACCTTTTTCCATCCAAACAAGAAATATAAACCAAGAGTAAATCAAAAGTGGACACAGAATTTTCACATTATGGAATACAAATTATCTCAGATTTGTGTCCCATTCTTCAACAATTCATTTGTTTGCTATTTATTTGATTTTCCCCCAAAATCAAACTAAACTAACCCAAAATACCAAAGACAGGCTCATTTTAACTGAACCCATATAATGAAAAACCAATACTCAAAATTTCTATAGTTTGATTGATTATTCCTGTATTTTCTTGGCACCCAAACAGAAATAACTATAATATAAAATGAGGAAATCTTCTTACCTTCATCTTAAGGCAACTCTGACTCGGAAAATCTCAATGACCATAAGCAACTCAGTCCAATAATCAAAAGCACAACAGTGTTTCTATGAAGAATAAGAAGATTTGTGATGGAAATTTTTTCAAACATAACTGGCAATGTTTCACACAGGTATTTTATCAAACACAAGGGCTTCTACACCGTCTCCCTCTCCTAACCGTCTTTTGGCTCCCCAACTTCTTCATTCCCCTTAGGAACCCCTATCCCAGCTGGTTACACTTCCCCTTCTGCCTCTTGAAACAGCCCCTCCAACCCTCTACTACCATAGATCTATTGCCTCATTCCCTCTTATCCACAACCACAAAACTACTTTTTTTCTCCACCACAAATCTGAAATGCCCACCCTTTCCCTCCCTACTATAGCACCACTAGCCCTCCTCTCACACCGCACCTCCCGTTACACCATTCCATCCCCACCACAGCGCCACCACGTTACCGAAAACCCTTACCCCACAATTAAACAACAGAGAGAGAGAGAGAGAGACAAAGAGAGAGAGAGAGAGGCCATACCTTTGTAAGGGAGAAGGGATGGCGAGTGCACTGTGTGGGAGATTGGAAGAGGCTGAAGAGATGTTGACATTGAGCATACAATGAGGTGCTAGGGTTTTATTTGGAAAAAGTCTCAAAACGATTTGTCCTTTACAAATTCTTGTTTTGCCTGCTAAGAGTAATGGAAGAGAAAAAGGCACCAGTGTGGGATATATTATTATATAAAAACAATATATTCAAAACTATCTACAATCACATTAATTAAAAGGTGTGAATAAAAAATATACATATAATCACATTTAATTTAAAAATAAAATAAAAAATAAATATTATTATATTCAATTAAATTAAGTATGATTAAAATATCAATCTAATTTTTTTTTATCACACTTTCAATAAAAGTGAGATATTTTTATTTGTCAAAGTGTAATCTTTAACTATTTTTGTAGTAGTGATAGAATCACACTTTAATTAGAAGGTGTGGTTAAAAAATATGTATATATAATCACACTTATTTAAAAAGTGTGATTAAAAAGTAATAGTGTATCTATAATCACACTTTAATTAGAATGTGTGATTAAAAAATATATAAATACTCACACTTTAATTAGAATGTGTGATGATTAAAAAAATATAAGTATATATCACACTTGTTAAAAAGTGTGTTAAAAGTAATATGTATATATAATTCACACTTTTAATTGAAAGGTGATTAAAAAACA